ACACATTGATCCCCCGCCGGCGTTGTCCTGGGGGGCCGCAAAATAGGAAAAAAGGTGTAAGGTGCCCCCCCCCCCCCCAACCCCAAATAGCATTGAGAAACACACTGCAACTAAAAGTGAACTTAATAATTAATTATTGAAACTGTCAGACAATATAAACCTACAATTATGTAACTTTATGAATCCTCAAGTTTGAATGAAATCCAACTATTTAAAGTCTACCTGCTGTGTAAACAATGACACCATTTCTCCGGATGTGACTGACTCTTTGCAAAAAATCTTAGGGACACCCATTGGCATGGTCGTCCTCTGGCTCTGAAACCTGAGTGCCTGCTATTTGGTGGTTTGACCGGCATTCTGACCAGGCAGCTAAACCAATGTTTCCCTGTTGGACCATATACATGCTGATAGGTATCTTGCCAACCATTAGCCCAAAGTAGGCTTCGCGAATACTTTTCCAATGCAAATTTCATAAGTCAAACTCTTCGCAAGGAAACAGGAATTCCTGTTGCTTGGTTGATGACTAAATCAATTATTTAATAAATCTTATGTTATAGGTATCTTGTTAACCCTCATTCATCTTTTCTGGTGAATAAACTTTAACTGACCCAAGTTAGACACCGCGTTTGGGTGTCGCTAATTAAAAATAGTCTCCCTTGACCTTGTTTACAAATAAATACAGTCTATAGCCTGTAAAAGTAGAACTATGTAGAAATATCCAGGTTGATCGAGAAGGGGATGTAATGTGTAAGCCTGTTCTAGAAATGTCTCTGAAACAGGCTATATATATGCCTAGAGAGATTTGAGCTATAAATTATAAAGAGATATTTGCTATCACGATACGAGGCGAAGATTTTTATACTGGTATTTATATTTACTCTCTGTGGGTACCTTTTTCAACATTGTACCGGTACAAGTCATCACTGTATTGTAAGTCAATAGCTTAAGTTTGTATTTCTTTTTGATTTTATAATAAACCTAATAAAATTATTAATTGTAATTAGCCCTAGTTTAGGTATAGTTTTCTTTTATTATTGTATTTAATTTATGGTATCATCTTTTGTTGTGTACTGTTTGTCAATGAGCCATATAGACAAAAAGAGATTAAATTCTATATACTTACAGAACTTACAGTGGTATGTAACACAGTAATTCTGAAACGTATTCCTTAGTAGTTATCTTCGTCTTCCAAAAATTCTTGATGTTTCTTCAATATTAAGGTTTTGTTGAGAAAATATTTGATTATTTAAGATGTTTCCTTTGATTTCACTTTTCCCTGTAATTCCTACCAAGTTTCATTTTGTACTTTTCAATTGTTCACTCAAAAAATATTTAATTATTTTTTGTAACATCAATCTTTGCATCAAAGTCTTAAATAACCTGCTCAACTTCTTAGTGTAAAACAAAGCAACAAATCAGATGTGAACAGTCCAGATAGATTTTAATTTAATCATAAGTTTTCTGATGATATTTTCACACCAGTTATACAAAACAGTAACTAGAGTATTCTGTCCTTTCATTTCTTCATCAATTATATAGACAAAAATATTTCTAGCTACATTTTTACATTGTTTCTTGACCCCATGCCAACAGAAGTCCTAATTATTTGCATTGTCTGCTACATCCTCTCAGCAGGCTGCATATATCAAAATATCATTAGATAAATATAGATATACACACCGACATGCAACAGAAATTATAAAATTTTGTTGCATTTGCAAGGCTACTAATACTATGAATATTTGGTGTTTATTTTTAGGATATTGATGTTGCGATTTGTAATTTTTTTCAACATTGGTATAACTTGCGAATGTTCATAAATATTCAAATTTACAGAATTTTAACATGAAACAAGTTATTTGGGAGTAAATGGGTCCCTTAAAACTCTGAAATTCCCATACATATCACACATCACCAAAATCAGATGCACACTAGATGTATTCAATACATTTGACACATAACTAGAAGTAACAACATAAACTTCCACAATATATTCATCTTAAAACCAGTTTCAGCCTTGTTAATCACTGTATTTAGTTTAATTATAAAGTAATATTTTAAGGTCTGGCATTGTAATTTGATTTCCATTTGAGAACAGATGCCATTTTAATTCTGAATTCATGAAGGATAAATAAATAACTTGCAAAAAGGTAATTATAAATTTGAACATTGGAAATTTTGATAAGCTATTTGTTAATCATAATCATTTAAAACATTTATTTTTTAATTACTTGCAAAAAAACAACAACAAAAAACAAACAAAAATACAGCAGTATTTACATAAAATGAATGTTAACAATAAAATAAACATCAGATTTAAAATAAAAACATGTTTACTATTTCAGCTCACAACTTTGGCTTTGTTTCCTGGTCTGTCACATTTCTTATGTATACTGTGTCTGGAACAGGCACTGATTTGTCTATCTCTGTCTCAAACATAAAAGATGAAGCAATAGCAAGTACACTTCCATCGTGGCTGAAGGCTAAAGAAGCAATACTTGTTGGATACCTGGCAGAAAGATCAATGAAATTAAAATTCATATTACAAATAAAATTTATTTTTAAATTTATGACACAATGCTATAAAGTATTAGTTCACCTTAGAAGATGTCTTTAATTTTTTTTACTACTTCAGGTACTAAATTACAATCTATTGTATTCAGTGACAATGATAGTTGTGGGAGGGGTAACACAAAATTTGTTTGCCATGAATTACATTAATTTTTAAATAATTCACCAAATCAATCAATTTGTTTAAGTGTCTCAAGGGTAAGTAAAAGTAACATTGTTTAAAATCTGTGATCAATTTTATCCAAGAAAACTAAATTTGCTATTTTAAAACTTGATCCATATTGGCAGGGTTTACATTAATTTTCTGTATTCATAATGTGTCATTTTTCTTTATAACTTATGGAAAGTTATTAAAATAAAAAAATAAGGACAATAATTTAATAAGTGTTCTTAAACATTCTCCATTTTGAGTGAAATTTACCTGTGGAATTGGCAGAGACGTTTTTTGTTGAAACCATCCCATATGTTGACATAACCATCAGATCCTCCTGTTGCAAATGTGTTATAACCATTATGAAATGCTATGGCATTGACAGGATATATCAGCTCTTGCCCATTTTCTTTGATTCTGTGACATTTAAAGGCATATTTCTTTTTCTGAATCTCTGGATTAGGATCTAAGTATTCAACAGCTACTCGACCTGTAAAACAATCATTTAAATACCTCATTAGCTTGCAAAATTATCAGCAAAAATCTCTTCAATTAAGCATACTTAATACTATTCATGATGAATGACTAGTATCTGATATGCTGGAATTTATTAAATCCACACACTCATTTAGAATACCACAAACAGTTGATTAAAAGTATATCATTAAAGTAAATTTTCTGTTGTATTGCAGTTTTTGGGTGCATAAACCTTATAACTTTACTGAATTCCATTTATAAATCTAATAAAAGTGGTTAAAAAATCATATGGAATGCAGTAATGGTTAATAGCATAGTAAGTTCCCTACTTCTGATGAAAGTGATGAAATTGGTGCAAATGGTCAATGGCCATGACCTTTCAATTTTAATTAGCATTTTCTTTTAAAATTCACGATCTATAGTTAAAAAAAATTCTTGAATGCTGCTAGTTCTGTAAAATACCTTCAATGGAACTGAGAACATAACCCTGTTTATTTGGAAAACTTCTGATACAGCGTGTCTGGTATTTAAGATTTGATTCCCTGCGTTGCTGTACATATCCCATGTTCCTTAGGTCCCAAACAAGCACTCGTCTACCTGCTGTGCCAACAATCAAGCAATCTCCACAAACCGACATTGTGTAGACCTGTATGTCAATTAGTTTTTATTTTTATAACACACTCAGAGAAGCAGATTAAACATAATTATTATCCAAATGCATGGAAAAGTGAATTATAAACTTATTGGTGATCCAATAATTGTAAAATTGAATTCACATTAAACACAAAAAAATCCTTACCATATCATAATATTTCTGCTATGGTTACGCTTATGGTACATTTTATAAAATAATTTCTAAATTTAAATGATGTAATTCTGTAACTTCAGTTCTGACTTTGAAACTGAATAAAATATAGTTCAATAGTTAACTAATACCTTGTCTGGCTGTGAAAAACTTCCCACCATATTTGCCTGACGAGGGTCCCACATTTTCACATTAGAATCCCAGCTGCCTGTGATTATTATGTTGACGTCTGGAGCATATTCAACACACCGTATGGCACCATCATGATTACCAATTATTTGATCTAAAAAATATTAAAGAAAGCAACTTATACACACACAAAAACTATACTCTTTTTTTTAATTTTAAATAATAATAATGACAATGGAACTGCCAAACTAGAAGTTAAAATATATTTTGCTAAAAGTTTCTAAAGATAAAAAAAAATGCTTAATGTATCTGATGAAATTTTTATAATAAATTTAAAAACATTTTTAATTTATCAAATTTTAATACCTGTGCTTGTATTAAAGTCATACATCTTCAAGGTCTTATCAAGACCCCCACTAAAAGAATGGACTGCATCCTGAAAATAAATACTCAATAAACTGAGTGTTCTTAAAATGCAATGTACATGATTTTAAACTCATTTTACAAATTTAGAATGACTCAACTTACTTGCCTAAACTTCAAAAATACTTCTCCAAAGTAAAAATGGATTGGAGTTTGTAGTTATGCCATACTAGGATCAATTCATGTGGTTTATTTTAATCCTGTTTAATTATTTCCACTAATGTTAGTTTATAATATTTGTTCTGTCAAAACTCATGTTATAAGAAAACGAAAAGGCTTCACTAATAATCACAATCGCAGCTAAATGATTTATAATTTAAATACTTACATAAAAACAGCAATCAAGCACTGGTGCAGAATGTGTGTACTTGAAACGCATGCTGTCAGCAACAACATCATATAAACGAACAGTTTCATCCCAAGATGATACAAGGAGGAACTGATTGGAGTTTGGTCCGAATTTGACAGAACTGATGCCATCTAATGGCATATTAGTCAGCTTAAATTCATTTGGGGATTCACCCATTTTGTTGTCTGAAATATACATTTATATTATAGGCTAAAATAGGCCTTTTTAATGTAAATTAATTTTTTCAACACATTTTTATTTATAATTTATCAGTTAGGGCTATATGATATTATTAGTGCTATGTTACATAGCAATAATAATAGGCAGTGTCTACACGTCCGGCGCGCCGGACGGATATCTCCCACACTATTTGTCCGGTGACCAAGTTACATGAGCGCCAGAAGAATACTTTATCGAGATATTCGTCCGGCGACCAAGTCTCATGACCGCCGTAACAAAGTGGCGCAAGATTTTTGTCCTTCAGCCTTAACTATTGTTAATTTTAAAATCTATTTCTCTACCAAGTAATTTACTAAGTATCTTGCAAACAAATAATAGAAAAAAATAATTGGGTATTTTACCAAACAAAGTGGGGGTTAAGCAATGCATTCTAGAAGGAAACAATGCTAAGAGGGAGAGAGAATAACGGTAATAAAAAATACTAATGCTAAAAAAATAACACTGAGGGTGATAAATAGTGAGTTTAAGGCAGGGAGGCCGATAGTTCACAAAGAAATATACCCTACATCTTAATATAGGGCCGATATAGTGGTAGCCTAGCCTACTTGTCTTGCAATATTAAATACTAATTCTGAAATAAAACTTTATTGACATAGGCATAGGTCTATTGAAGTCTACTACTACTACTACTGGTCTTATTTTACTTGGTTCATATTTTAAATTTAAGCTTCAAGGTAGAGCTTTACAAGTACTTGTACTACTAATTAATATATAGGCCGACTAGTTTAAGATTCAAAGTCAAACACTTTATTTAACTCAATTTGAATATATTCACATGTTCAGCATTTATTTATTCGAAGTGTCTACACGTCCGCGCGCCGGACAAATAGTGCGCAAGATATACGTCCGGCGGCATGTCACGCTAGTAGTTTTTATTATTCTGAACGAAGTGCAGTTTGGTAGATCTTGTGTGGTCTAGTGGTAGAGTTATTGCTTAATATTATGATTTGAGGATCAATTCCGGAGAAAGGATAGTTTTTTTTCCCATTTTAATTAAAAATATTTTATACTATATTTTTATTATCATGTTCATCAGCAACAGTAGTTTCATGAGAAGTTTTTAAATTATTTTGTAGCAATTTAAACAATTTAAAATGAAATCTTTTACTTTTATTGGTTGCCTACTCCACACTGGCCCCTAATTTATTTTATGGATTACTGGTACACAAACTCAACTGGTAACAAACAAAACAAAAATGTTTACATACCACTTTCACTTAAGTTTTTTTCTATTATTTGCATTCAAGATACTAAGTACATTACTTGGTAGAGAAATAGATTTTAAAATTAACAATTTAATAACAATAGTTTTGAATCATTCGCAGTCACGTGACAAGGCTGACCGACAAGATATCTCTCGCCACTTTGTTACGGCGGTCATGTGACTTGGTTGCCGGACAAATAGTGCGGGAGATATACGTCCGGCGCACCGGACGTTTAGACACTGCCTTATTTATTATCCAGGGATCAAATGCAATCATAATGCAACTATTTTGCAGGCAACCACTTGTCACATGACCTGCAGGAATAATAACGCCTACAAGTCGTCTGGCGGTCACGTGACATGCCTGCCGGACGTATATCTCCCGCATTATGTGTCCGGCGCGCCGGATGTGTAGACACTTCGATAATAATATTATTGATAATCATATAACCCTATACTATAGTTTCAATTTTTATCCATTCGTGTTCACTAGGGATTCTATACTAAAATTCAGTTTCACTTCTCTTTTTCGTCTACAGGCTTCTTCTTTAAAATTATTAATGTACATGATCATAATCCTTTGGATTGGGCAGAATAGCAAATTAATTATAGAATCATCCCTGAAAATAATAGCACCAATTAATCTTTGGTCCCTAGGCGAGTAATTAGTAGTAAATTGAAGCTTCACAGCTTTCATTGTATTCAACATCGTCTAAGGCTGACTAAGGTTAGATATAAGCTGATAGCCATTCATAAACTACTACAAATTATACTGATAATTACTGATAGAGTGATAGTGTAAGTGTTGCCCTTTCCTAGCCCCTACTAAGACTAAGGCTAAGGCTAAGGCAAGGCCTACTAAGTGAGTGCAAGTCTTGCTACTTCAAACTTGTCACAATGTTGTAGAAGCACTTTAAATTATTTAATTAAGTGTTTATTTATTTTAATTTACCGCTGTTTAATTAATATCAGATAAAAAATATTTCGTTTTTATTTAAGTCAGTTGCCGGATATCGTCTATGTAATTGAAATTTCCAAATATCCATTTACTTACTGAATTTCATTCAAAAAAGATTGTCGGTGCCAGGAGATATTGCCGATTCTAGATGTATTTTTATTACGTTATGAATTTACTTAATGACCTGATTATAATATGAGATTTTAAAAATTAAAAAGTTAAATTAAGTATTTTATGTTTGTTTATTAAAAAAAAAATTTACTATAGTTCGTTTAAAGTTAAAGAATGGTAGAAAATATTAATTTTAATTGCAAATTGGCCTATTAAAATTATTTTACTTCGCCTCATTTGTTAGCGAAGCTTTATAATTTATTGTTTTTTATGAAAATGCAAGGAATGCCTAAGGCAGTCTATGAGGGCCGTGCACATTTTATACAGTATAAAAATATGATTTTTTGACCAACCCGTAACCTTTATTAATTAATAACATTTAGTTATATAACATTTCCATTGACCAATCCTCCCCCTAATTAGCCTAATTTATATAAAATTTATAGCCACCACCTCCACCCCCCCACCCCCNCCCCCCCCCCCCCCCCCCCCCCCGACAAAACCCAAAAATGTGCTAATCTAATTATTGTATGCACCGAAAAAAACGTTTTCAGCAATGCAGGCTGATTCCGTAAATTTGAAAAGCAGAAATTTTGCAAAAATAAGAAATACTAGAAAACAACAAATAAAAAGAATTCTTAAATATTATTGCTCTCTACCACTCAGACCCCAATATTATAACAAAATGATAAACCACTCATATCCCTTCCATATATAAATTGTGCATGGTCCATAAGTATAAAGCTTAAACAAAGGAAAAGTTTATATATATTTTTTTTTGTTTTTGTTGTTGTTGTTGTTGTTTTTAGCAACAACAAACGTTGTTTAAGCAATATTGATAAAACCTTCCTCAAGGTGGTATTGCGTATTGGTGTTTTCCTCCAACGAAGTCGAATAGTTTTAGGATATTTTACCTATTGTGTATATACAGGGTGGGCGAAAAAAAGTGAGAACATCTCGTAAAATATTACGCTACGAAATGTTCTCACTTTTATTGGACCACCCTGTAGAGTTGGGAATTGAATCCTCTTTTAGAAGTTCGGTTCGGGTTCAGTTGTCAGCTGGGTTCGGTTCGCCTTCGGGTCTATTGTTGAGAATCATACCCATGACGTCATTTGCGTGTTTATTATAGTTGCAGTAAATTAATGTTTAGGTTAGGTTGAGGGGTTGATTTAGGGTTCAGGTTAGGCATAGGGATCGATTTAGGGTTCAGTTTAGGCATAGGGATCGATTTAGGGTTCAGGTTAGGCATGGGGATCGATTTAGTTTAGTCACTGTCAACCAAGATGGCGGAAACCCCGGGTAGTTTTCTCAACATTTACCTACATTGGCAACCAGTTCCATCTGCTTGGCTGTGCCATATAACAGCGTCGGGACCTACGACTCTACAGCCGCCATGGCCTGTCCCGCAACATCAGGAGCAATTGCAGCAAGGCACTAAGTCAACAGATGAGCCAGAGTCTCCGGGGCCAGCGTGCAGTGCAGGTCGGATTTCTCTTGTTTTCTAGCTTGTTGAAGTTTGAGTTAATAGGGCAGTGCTCGATTCTCACCAGGGGCTTCTCTACCAGGAAGCGGCACGTTAGCGAATATGCATCTGACCTTCGTGCTGTCTGCCAGCCAGTTTTTGACACCGATATAAGTGACTGGTGATTCTGGTTACGACTGGGCAGCCCCGGTTTTTTTTGCCATGGTGTCTGCTTTCTCATTGCCATTCAAGTTCAATAACAACTATAGCTTGGGTTTTGTCAATCACTGCAGTTCGGCGCGTTCGGTAATTTTAAAATGAATTGAGATTTAAATAAAACAAATATATTTTACATTTATTATAAGAGTAAGAGGAATGTGACAGAGCCTTAGAAGCAAGAGAGTTAATACATGAATTACGGGACGAAAGAGAGTAAAAGTAAATTCTCTCGTGGTTGTAACAAAGAGGGGGAGGAGAAAACATTAAACATGTGAAGGGGAACATGATATTCATGCCATGTGGTGTCAGCGTCCCATAAGTCTGAATCAGTTTGTTCTCTAAGTTCACCCTGGCTGGCGTGTTACTACAATGGTGGTGACTATTAGTCAAGTCTCTGGAGCCCTTGTGGTCGCTTCTATTGAAATGTTTTGAGATAGGGCACTTTATTTTGTGCAACATTTCGAAGGTATTCAGTATATCTGTCCACGAGGCGCCGTCCAGTCTCGCCTAGATACACCATCTAGAAGTGGGTACATACGATGGTGTAGACAATATTGTGGCTGCCCCAAAGGAAACAATCACTTATTCCAGGGGTTCTCAACCTTCCTAATGTCACGACCCCTTAATATAGTTCATGTCGTGGCGACCCCCCAGCCACATAAATTATTTTCGTTGCTACTTCATAACTGTGGAGTATATGTGTTTTCAAATGGTCTTAGGCGTCCCCCGGGAAAGGCTTGTGCGACCCCCAAAGGGGTCGCGACCCACAGGTTGAGAACCGCTGCCTTATACTAATATGAAAACTACCCTTAGGGAAGGAAATGTTTTGAGTCTGGATGACAAAAGGGAACGTTTTTCAACGACTGCGTCCACATGGATTGGTCTTAAAGTTGGAGGGAGCAGTGCGGATACGCACAAGAAGTTCTCGTAGATTCTTATCTCTTCTGAACACAAAGAAAGGTGGGACTGAGAAAATTCTGTGGGTGTCAGGGTTGGTGAGGAGAATGGAACGGTTTACATGGAAAACATGTTTAGCTATGAAATTGAGGATGATATGTGAGAGTAAGTTTGGCCCTTTCGCCATTGTCACTCGGATGAGACCTGAAGGCATTACCAGGATTGATATTTTTAAACCGCTGAAGTGCTGATGAAAGTACTGTCAATCAGTTAATATGCGCTCTTGCAAAAAGAGGAACATAATGGGAAGATCAAACAAACTTGCTATAAATTTACTAACCATAATATTTAGAACTTATCTATTCTTTAATAAATTCTGCGATATAAACTGGTCAAATACATTATAGTTGTTAAAAAGTTACAAAATTAAAATGTTCACTGCTGATTTCTTTATCAAAGAAGATCTGTACTTTTCTACATTTTTATTTTCTTTTGGATTTTTTTTGGGGGGGTGGGGGGGGGGGAAAGAGGCTATCTTTTTTGTTGTTGACATAATTACGCATTCTGAAGTGGTCCTTGAAAGCGTTCGAGTTATTGACAAGGGGAGGGAGGGGATACCAATCATTCACATAGTTAATGGAAGGCCCCAAACTGGAATCCGATTATCATTTAACATCCTTATTTAAACCCACTCAGAGCACACTCCCCCTATATATTCGACTGAATTTGTTTTTCAACTGTTTGATTTGTTCAGCGTTAATATATCAATATGATACTTGACTGTGTCAATTATTGAATTATGATTTTCTCACTCAACGTTTGAAAAGAAAACAATGCATTCTATATCATGTTATACAACCATGGGCGGAAGCTCTAGATTTTGTCTAGGTGATTAATATATTTAATATATATTTATATAAACCCTCAAACCTCCCCCCCCCCCCTCAGAATATTTTTGACCCCCCCCCTCCTTTTTTTTTTTTGCTCAGTTATTATATTAACAACAGAATAACAAAATCTTTAAAAAATATTAAAATAAATAAAACACTAACAGTGATATAGTTTATTTATTATTTTCAGATTTTCAACAACAAAATGCTTACAAGTTTAGAAAATGTAAAACACAACTTTCAAAATATGAAGTAAAATCTGAATAGATAATGAATTTAATAACAAGCATTTTAGTGGAATATAATACCATCAGCAAAAGTTCTGGACACGCTGTAGGCTATAGAGCTGTTTTTAAGCCTAAAAAGTTACTCAAAATGCTACTTTAAATAAATTTCTGAATAAATGAGTAGAATACATAAATAATCATCATCATAAAGGTTACAAGTGACTTTTCCTCTTTAAATAAGACTTGAGTTATTTCTTTCCAAAACTCATCAGTACAAGGATTAGATGCAATATTAAATTCTTGATAAAGGTTCTGTATCGTATTTCTGTGCAATATGATCCTGAGAGAGAGAAAGAAATTCAAGATTTCACAAATCTTATGTAATCAAGCAAATATCTGAAATAAATATGTTAAACTAAAAAAAATGTTTTCTAAAACAAAACTGACAAGAATGTTTCTTAAGTGATTTAACTGGACTTACTGCAAATTCAATTTGTTTTGGATGATATGGAATACCCCCAAGTTTTTCACACAAATCCATGTGCCTCTTTTCAGGGTCACCAGGTACTAAAATTTCTGATTCTCCTTCAGCCTGTAACAAAAATATTTCACATGTAGTTCATTTTGCAGTTGAGAAATACTTAAAAATCTAAATGTCTTGTGTTTAAATTGTCTTTAAAAAAAAAATTATCTTAATAAGAATATTTATCTAAATGCTGAAAATGAATATTGTACAATGTAATCTTAACCCAGTTCCATTTATTTGTGTCTATAAAAGAATCTTATCTTATCTTAAATGATATAAATGTTAAGTTACTAAACTAAAATTGTAGTCCCCCCCCCCCCAACCAAACACACAAACAGACTTTTTAGTGTATGATGCCCATTGCCCAAATGATTCACAAATACATAAACAATCTAAAACATTTATTGGATTCTTTAACATCATTAGAAGCTTTTATGTTTTAAGGGTTTCATTTGAATAAAGTTGTAAACTATTGACATGCTAGAGTTTATCAAGTTTATCACGTCAAAACGGCTGTGACAAATTGGCCCCAACATATCGGCCTGTGACAGCTCAGTCTTGTGACAAGGGTTTCCAACAAAAGGGCCATAGTCAAAAGGGCTTCAACAAATGTATTAGCCAGGGTCTCAAACCACTGAGGGGAGGGGGTTTGGGCAAGTGTACAATTTATGTGATGTGTACATAAGTTATTTCCTAAAAGGTTTCTTGCTAAAATCTGTTAAGTTATGAGTAGTATCTAAAGTAGCCTACGCCATGCTCCTGGGGGAAGTGAGTCTAAGAACATGTGTTAGTTTGTGACAGGTGGAGAGGGCGATTGATCATGTGTGAGTGTGACATTAGTCATGTTTTTTTCCATGCATTAAAAAACCTCAAAATTATGTTGTTAATATGAAATTTTTGTTGAGAAAAGCCTTCTTTCACTTATTTATTTAAAAAAAAAAAGTGGATCATCTTCCAATTGAATAAAGCTTATTTTGAGTTAAGTGTTTTAATACTTTATTAATTGTCATGATAAATCTACCGCAATTATAGCAACAACCTTGGTAGATATTTGATTAATTCAAACCAACTATTTTATTATATTTTACTATTACAGATGACGAATAGAACCATTTATGCAGCATTCATATCTTTAAATAGAATTTAACTAAAGATATAACACAGCTGTGTTTAGAAATTTTTTTGTAAATAGGAAACTTACAGGCTCCTGGTCTCGACACTGGTGAATCAATGATGATAACCTGTCTTCAAAACCTGGTGCAAAAGCTTTTGGATCAATTGCAGCAAAACACTGACCCTAGAAATAATATTCAATGCAGGCGAAAGTCTTAGCTAAAATTTTTACAATTACAGATGTATGGTTGACAAACCTGATTTACGAAACACTTTGCTAATTAGCCTAACAATGCCGTAAACTTTACAGAACCTTCAAGTTATATTGCCTAAAGTTTTTAACAAATGCAATGAATTAAATATATTTGTTATTTCCTAAATGTCAAGAAAGGCACTATTTTATGAATTCCATGTTAAATTAAAAATGTACATTACTCACCAGATCAGCAAAAGAACTGTGTTCAGTCCAATCCCTAACATTGCTACCAAAGTTTGAGCCACTCAGAATGCCACAAAATAACTCCACCATAAAGCCAAGTCCATAACCTTTGTAACCACCTATTGAAATATGCAGAATAAAATGATGTTGATAACTTTACAGCTTTCCCCTAAAAAATAACCACAATTAATGGACCGAGATTAATGCAAAATAAAATGCTTAAATGGTACCGGTACTGTAATATAATGTTCACCTATTGCTTTTATTTTATTTAGAGTCAAACCTTCCAAATACAATTCAATCAGACATCACAAGAAGTAAGAGACATCATTTGTACATGCATAGGGACCGGTGTTTGAAAATATAGACCATGGGTTGTCCCTTAAGCCATTAAATGACTTTAAACTCCAAAGTCCTTTCTGATGATGGATTCATCAATCCAATTCTTAGTGCATATAATTTTTCTACTCTTAGATACCACCAATTTGTGTTTTAAATCTTCAAACTATTGCAAGCTTCTGTTTTTTTTGGCCAACTTTTTACTAAAAACATCTTTTTCAAGTGAACATCATGAACAAGAAAAGCAGAAACTTACTAAGTCTATCAGTATCTCATGTAGCCCTGATTTTTAAATTCATTACTTTAGATATGAACTATGCCTTACTGAAGTTGTTTTTATTGATGCAAATAATGTCTTTTTTAATTAACTAATTGAAGTGATAATGACATTTATTGATTATACGTAATTAAACTTAGGTAATGACACAAACCTAAAACTTTAAAGAATAATATCCTCTAAGCTACAGTAGTTGTAATGTACAAAAGAAATGTTTTTTTAGTTTAGCCTGCCCCCAAACTTCTAAACTAAGTGATTGGCCCTTAGACTGAGCAAGTTGCAAATGTCTACATTAAATAGTTTATTATGATATGAATCCAAAGCTATACCTTTTGACAAGTTACTATCTGAAATTTAGACTAAAATAGTTTGAAAGTCTTATAACCAAAGATATCTGCTTACTGGTTTCTTCAAAACCTCCTAATGGAGTTAGTCCACCATGATAGAGAACTTCTTGTGTGTCAGTGCAAGACTATTATGAAATTAAGTACATTTAGCGGCCATCCATAAATGATGTCATGCATGTGGGGGGGGTCACAAATTTGTTACAATACATTATGAGGGTGTCTTAATTTTGTGATAAAGAAAAGATAAAGATGCATGTTTAAGAAATTGGCCAAAACAGCATGACATCATTTAGGGATGGCCCCTTAGTTTTAAAAAAATGACTGAATAATAATATTAACAATCAATTTAATTATTAAAAAAGTAATATCTTAATTAAAACATGTATTCAAAACAAAATGCAGGATGCTTGTATTAGGGTGCCACTACCCATAACTCAATCCCCTAAAAATACCTAGCATAATTTTTAAATATTTCTTTGGTTTCAATTCATTTACTGATTTGTAATCTTAATATGATGAATTGAATTTTTACTAATGATATGGGGTTTGGTTAGAAAATTTTCAGTGGATAAAAACCCAGTATTATTTAGTTTACAATTTTACATTTCTATATTTCTTGTTTGAAGAAAAAACAAAACATAACTCACCCATTTAAAAAAAAAATGTACAAATTATCTGGATAAACAGTGAATAATTGTCCTCCTAAATAAAAAGGGTTCCAATAAATACAATTATTTAAAATTACTTTTCCATTTCTATCTACGGCCCATCCTTCAGGCAAGCTTTGACTTAATCGATGTTTTATCTCAACCTGTGTAAGAAACAAAAATGTGTCATTAGGGCTATTTGCTTTTTTAGATGGTCATTTAAAAAAGAAAATTCTTTTTTTTTTTTTTAAAGCTTGAATCACATCTAACAAAATATAGTTTACTGCATCAGGTTTAAATGTATTCATTTACAAACAACTTTCAAATCTCATAAAAATCAATGTAAGAAGTAATAACCTTGCCCTGTGCAACAGTTGTTGTAGCCATATCAAGAACAAATTCCTCATTGTTGTTCCCTTTAGCAGCCACTGATATTGGGTTTGTACCAAGGGTTCTCTGTAGGGAAATTTCTTAAGGAGATAATCAAATGCATTTCCAGAAAAATATCTATTAAAAAACGTCATTAAAATATTTCATTAAAAAAATGTAAATTATAAATTTAAAAACTTATAAATAAAAAGTTAATATTCATGAAAATCTGAACAGCATATTAATATTATTGGTCTAATTTTTTTTAAACAAAGACTTTGTAAAACTATTAATATGCCCTATGTGCAAATTTTTTAAGCAAATATAAAAACAAAGCATACCCATAAATAAATAACTAATGATTAAGATTAAGCAGTTCATAAATATTAACACATATTAACAAATATTTTAATGAAATACCATTTTAGATCTTGTGTGGATCATATTAGGTGATGTATTGCAAAATGCCATTCCCTGAGAAATAAAATTTGAAATGATCTTTAAGGAAATTGTCAACCAAGTAGGCTGATATATTATTTTGTTTTGCATAACTAGTATTCAATAAAAATCTATTTATAGATAAGTTAATGACACATAAGTCAGGATAGATTAAATATAAAAATTGTCACACTTTTATTTATTAGTCCAGAAAAAGTCATAGCAGATGGAAAATAAATAAAAAGTATTTAATAATCTGCAATATTAAGTTTTATATTTGAGTTTTCAAATTACAATATTGAAAATTCTTACTATAAGTCCTTGCTCCATTGCTCTGAGACTGTACCATCCAGCTATTCCAAAATGATTTGACTCTTAAATGAAAAATAAGTGGATGATATTTGTCCCTTCAATTACATTAAGTTTTGATAACTACAAGTACAGCTTAAATTTAAATGTTAATCCTCAGTCCCATTAAAAGAATACATTTTGGAATTTGTCATAAATTTATTCTGGACAGATAAAATATTGCTTGACTGAAAATTTTTTTTTTTCCAAGTTATTTTTTAAAATTATTATTCTTAACAAAAATGAGGCCCAGGTTAAAATCTGTGATCTCATTTCAAGCATTAAAAAATTGGTTCATTTTTCTTGAACCCGTAACAAGAAATTAATACTGATTAGTTACTTTTAGCACAAACCCAGCCAATTCCAACTTTCTTAGCTTTTTCAATAGCAATATCCATACAATACTTGCCGACCACTGGCCCTGCAAAAAAAAAAAATAATAAAAAAGTTACTTGTGTTACGTTACAGGAACATTTATTAGAACAACTGCCTTATAGTTTAAGTCCTAAGAAAGATTATGATCTACCATCAGTGGTTTTCAACCTTTTCTAATGGGGGCACCATTAACAACTTAATTTATTTACATTGCGCCCCCTCCCTTCTTTTCCCATTCAGCTTATTTTTAAATTAAAACTACAACAAATAATAAGTTTTCATATATCTGATGAGTGCCATATGTCAAATTTAAGAATTATTTCTTGACCCCCTTAGGGGATTATTGAGATACCTTAGGCTGCTTCTTGTTTGAAAACCACTGTTTTACATAGTTACCTGATATAATTAATGGGAATATTATTTAAGGGTTTTATTGTAAGAAAAAAGTTATTTTTCTTCCAAGACATTTATTTCCAATTACATTGCAGTAAAATAATCTTTCATATAATTGTTGATTACTGGTATAACCAGTATACCTACTCACCAAGGCAGTTATTGCCATCAACAAGTGCAGTTGCTGGTGTCTGTTGTATAATTTCAGGTTCTTTGTCTAATGATGTATGGCCATTTTTCAGGTCAATGAGGTAAAGTTCTGAAATTCATAGAGAAATCATAAAACAAACAGTTTGTTAGTTTGTTATGCACTATTTTGCTCTAAAGGAATTAAACTTTTGGAAACTCATCACCATTTCATGTGGTTATTATTTATCTCATTTGTCATTTCATGGATGACAGTCTAAGAATTCATGTGCCATTAAGGAAAAATAGTTTTTAAAAATAAATTCAAAATAAATTTTGGAATTTAGGGGTCCACAGGCTTGAATAAACTTCCCAAGAGGTCAGAGGCTAATAAAAATTCATATACCCCATTATGAATTTAACTTTACTTACCTATCCTATTAATTCCATGACTATAGTGGCCACGATGATCAGCAGAGACTATTAGTTCTGCCATTACTTCTGCATGTTCAGGTCGAGCACCAACATTTTCTAAGCATCTGACAGCAAATCCTCGAAGGCTTTCTAATGGAACAATAATCTGTTCTAGTTCATCTTTTTCTTTTTCTGTGTTACTTGCCATTTACACTTTTTGGTGAATGGGAAACTATCTAAACTGGCAGTCAACTTAACTTAGCCCTGTTAGAAGTGCATAAATTGTAAATTGATAATCTATATGGTAAACTTAGTAAACTAGTTGCAAGACCATTGATGATTAATAGAAACATTAATTTATTATAACATTTCCTCCCTCATCCTTCCCAGCTATCCTCGTCCATATTCCTCTACATCTCCACAGCTCCAAGTCTCCCTTAAACCTCCTCTTAACTCCCACCATTCCTGCTTAATCCTTCCATTGTCACTTCACTTCATCAAAGCTTATGTTATGCCTTACCCCACAAAAAAAAATTAAAAATAATTTATTATGTATTTATTTTTATGTCCACTGATAGATTAATGACATCCTTTTAACAATAGATAGGGAGAGGTAAAACTAATTCTTTGCACTTGATGTGTGCACAAAATTGCATTTTATAAGTTCAAAGAGATTATTTTAATTTTACTGTGATCAGTGCATGAAATTTTTGTTTTTCTGGAGAGTATTTTTCTTATTATTATCTACATTACTTGTATGTGATTTTCAAGGGCATTCTATGATTCTTTAAATTTAAAGTTAAACTGAATTCAAAGTTACGTACAGTCTTAAATCCGTTTTTTTTTTTTTTTTTAAAAAAATATAATTTACATTCACTCACTATTTTTTTTTCATTTTCCTTCTTTTTACTTTTTTGTATGTGATTTTCAAGGGCATTCTATGATTCTTTAAATTTAAAGTTAAACTGAATTCAAAGTTACGTACAGTCTTAAATCCGTTTTTTTTTTTTTTTTTAAAATAATCTAATTTGCATTCACTCACTATTTATTTTGCATTTTCCTGCCTTTTACTTTTCTCATTTGTTGTAATTTAAATTTTAATACGTGAATTTTGAAAATTACTGAAGAGAGAATATATATATAAGTTTGCGCTAGCTAGTAGAGTCTAAAAAAAATACCAAGCAAGTTTAAATTTTTAAGTTTAAGTCAATTTGAATTTGTTGTTTTGTGCTCATGGTACACGTCGTAGCTAAACACAAAAAAAAACAAAACAAAAAACAACAACAGAGACTCATTATTAAGTAGAGAATTTTAATTTAGTATATAGCCTGGGTAAACAGTCAACAACTAGTATACTAGTAATTACTTGTAGTAAGGAATTAAATTTATGATAATTACCGGTAAATTAACAAAAGATGTCCGATCTCGAAATACCCTGGCACCCTATAGCCTATACTATAGTTAAGCATTGTTGCCTTGTAAATTGTAAGTGCAGTTTCAGTTCAGGTGCGTATATTATTTCTTAGCGCATTTCGTATTTTAATTTTTTTTTATCATTTAAACTTACGTGTATTCTTTAATAATTAAATCCAGGCAGTTATAGTTAACTAATTCTAGATTATAAATCGCATCTTTTCTTTTTATTTTACTTCTAAAGAGTCTTTAAACATCCCCCAACCAAAGTGACAGGGCCCCCATTTGTTTGTATTTTTCTTTTTACGCTATGCCAGATTTTTAGCCACTTATAAGTTAGTTATGTTAAACGAAATTTTCAAACTAAGCATGTTCACAAAAAAGAATGAAATACTAGATTCTTCATTACGCACAAGCGCCCCCCCCCCAACTTTCTTTTTTCCCCTCTCAAGAGCTCGGAATATAGGGGTTGTCCTTTGAAGTCGAGTCGGGGGG